TAGTGGGGGAAATAGTATACCAAGCAAGAATGTAAGCATCTGAGACATTTAAAGTCATTACACAGAACAGAAATGTTTTCATGGTGTGCTAGGGTGGAATTAGGAAGATTTGAAAATAAATGCAATTCACTTTTGGGCAGTAGAGAATTTTAAATTATATTTTATGAATGTTATTACCGATATCAATAATTTATTATTCACTTATAAAAGTCTAATATTTACTATGTTCTGCCAATATAAAATGGACATCTCTTACTATGTGACCTCACTAAGGTCAGGGATTTCTTTCTTTTTTTTTTTGTTGACACAAGGCCTCAATGTAGTTCAGGCTGGCCTTGAACTTGAGCTATCCTCCAGCCTCAGTCTCCCAAGCGCTGGGCCTAGAGGCATGCCCCACCAAGGTCAGGGATTTCTTACACAACCAATCTCGGCCCACCCCCAACTTGGTCCTTTCTCCAAACGTAGCTCTAAGCCTTGTATTTAACCTTCAGTACAAAACTGTCTAAGGAGTCTAAGTGCCAGAATCTGGGGCTTCTTTGCTCTGCTCCATTCTGGCTAAACATAGGAAACCTAAGTCTGAGAGGTCAAAGCTGGTTCCTCTTCACCTCTGAGTTCCATTCTCAAGGTCACAATATGTTTGTACCCTGAGCCTACAGGGACAAGTTCTGTGAGGTTCACTGCTTTACATTTCCACAGTCCCCACAACAGTACTGCCATTAAGAGTTCTACTTGGGGCTGGGGAGTTAGCCAGTGGTTCTGGCGCCTGCCTTGCAAGCGCAAGGTCCCAAGTTCGTTCCCCTGTACAAAAAAAAGTTCTAACTGGACCCTCTGTTTCCAGCCACACTACTACCAAATTAATCTCCCTTTAAGGTCAGAGGTCTGAAAATGCTGGAGGGGCTGTGGGAAAAAAAGAATCCTTCTCCACTGGTGGTGGGAGTATAGACTCGTGCAACCACTGTGCAAATCAGTGTAAAGATTTCTCAAAGAACTAAAACTACAGGTTTCATTTGACCCAGCTATACTTCTTCTTGGTATCTTCCTGAAAGAATTAAAGCATCATACCACAGTGATATATGCCTACCCATATTTACAGTGGCACAGTTTGGAACAGCTGCATCTTGGAAACAGCCCAAATGCCCATCGACCACTGGCGAATGGCTAAAGATATGGGGTTTTTTTGTTGTTGGTGTTGGTTTTTTTTTTTTTTTTTTTCTTTTGGTACCAGGATGGAACTCGGGACCTTGCATTTGGAAGGCAGGCAGTGGCACCATTGAGCTAAATCCCCAGCCCCAGATATGTTTTTTTTTTAATACAACGGAGTACTACTCTGTCACAAAGGATGAACTTCAGACATTTACAGCTAAATGGCTGGACCTTGAGACCATACTCTTAAGTGAAATAAATTGGACACACATGTTTAAATACTTCATTGTTTCTCCAGAGTAAGAAATCTAAAACGGAAATAAGGACTAAAATGTATAATAGATATTGGGAAATGGGAAAAAAATGTTCAATGAGAAGGGGAGCAAGGGAGGAGAGGGAGAAAGGGACAAGAACGTGAAAGTAGAATGGAAAAACGGAAACAGCTTTTGTACATAGGAGGGGAGGGTGGAATGGGAAAAGAGATGGGATATATCATGTAGAGGTGCAAATTCCCTATGATGAATGTTACCATTATGTATGCCTAAAATGTACCAATAACTGTTTTGCTATAAAAACAATGATCAGAATGAGTTTTCCAATCTAAAAAAAGTGATTTTTAAAAGCCAAAAGAAAAAAGTCAGAGGTTCGAAATGTTGGATAATTTTGTCACTCTCTGACGGTTTTGTTTGTCATAACTGTGTCTGTGCTAATGGATTCTAGTAGGTGGGCGGAGCAGGAAGGCTGCTGAACATCCTGCAATGAACAGGATAGTCCCTACCACAAAAAAGAATACAGATGCTCAGGTAATTGCAGGCAACTTTTAAATTCTTTGAGTGTCAGCTCATTCATCTCTGTACAATGAGCCTAAGGGTATACTAAAGGGCTATGGGAAGATTAAGTCATGGTACACAGAATGCTAATATTACAGATAGCAAAGTCAGCCAGAAATTACGAAGCAGTTGGACAAAGCTGGGCCCTCAATGCAGAAAAACAAAGTTCACTGGTAAGCATTATAAAAAAGCAACTAGGGCCGGGGATTTAGCTCAGTGGTTCCACTACCTGCCTTGCAAACATAAGGACCAGAGTTCAAGCCCCAGTACCAAAAAATAAAAAAATAAAAAAAATAAAAAAGCCACTACTATACCCACATACATCCCCTAGGGATAAATAGCAGTGACTGTTATTCTAAATAGGTATCAATCAAGGGTGGGTGGGGGACCAAGACCTTTACCTATTCCTTCCAGGAAAGGTCCCTGACCCATTCCTTACCAAAAATACTCAGCTTTCTGGAGTGTGCTTGCTTCATGACTTGCTTCCCTATTTGATCCCCCATTTAATCAATATTACCTAAGTGACTATACTTGTTGTGACCTTATTGATCATAGTTTTGTTCCACCTCATGTCCACCTTGTGACTTCCCACTGGACCAATATTACCTAAGGGACTGTATTTGTAATCTTACTAGTAGTTGACTATAGTTTTGTCCCACTTTGTACCTGCCTCTCCTTGTGGCATGGTCCCATAAAACATCTTTGAGAAGCAGGGTGGGCAGGCAACCCACTTTCCGGGCCCCCTGCTGTCTCTCTTAGAAGCTATCTTTCTCTCAATAAATTTTTCCTACTCTTATCCTTTGTTGTTCCTAGAATTCATTCCTCAATTTTAGAGAACACAAACTTGTATTTCAGATATCTAGCAGGTTTGTCAGATACATCTATTCCCCCTATATCACTAACCAGTGTTACACAACGAGTACTTTCACACATTTTTTAAAAAGGTGCTAATTGTTTCCTTTTTTTTCCTCACACAGAATTATTCTCATTCTAAGAAGGCAAGAATGGAGGCCAGCAATGGAAATAAAGGTCCAGAGAAAAGGATTTCAAATGAACTCAAACAGGTGTGCTTCTGGACCTGAATAAATTATATGTCTATAATATTAGCATGCAAGGTTGTTGATCTACGGGTCAGAACAATTTTTGTTTGCCTGGAAGGATGTTAATGTCATTATTAAAATAGGCAGCAAGCAGGGCTGGGGATTTAGCTCAGTGGCACTGTGCCTGCCTCTCAAGTACAAGGTCCCGAGTTCTATCTCAGGTACCCGCCCCCCAAAAAAAGGGCAGTAAGCAAGTTTAGAAAACTGTAAGCTAATGAGGCAGCATTTAAAAGAAAAGGTCGGGCTGGGGATTTAGCTCAGTGGTTCCGGCGCCTGCCTCCAAAGCCCAAGGTCCTGAGTTAAATCCCTGGTACCCAACAAAACAAAACAAAACAAAAATTAAAGAAAAAGTCTATAGTAAGATGCGTGAACACCTAGATCAAGTACACCCAGCATCAGGGAATCATATCTCTTTTATTGACAGAACTACTCAACTTGGCAACACAGTGGATAGGATGTGTCTGGAACTGTGAAACTTGACAGGCCATTCTATGGGCCTTGTGGAAACATGGCTTGGGTTACAATGACAATTAGGTAGACCTGTAATTACTGGAGAAACTCTGCTACTAAGAAAGTTAGACATTAGCAGTCTGGGAGACAGGTGGCTGAGGCTATTTGAAAGGCAAAGATGTGGTCCCCCCCCCTTCATTTTCCAACTGTTAACTATAGACAAAACCCATACAAACTTGTGGCTTCAAACTTTAGCTCAAAAGGGTATAACATCCTCTTATGGCTTGGCCACTTTCATGCTGCATTTTCTGTCTCTCTCTGAAAATCTATCATTTTGCAAGACTCTACCTATTCTCTATGTGATGGCCTGTATGTCTTGTCTAATCTTTCGTCAAAGACACAAACAGCAGAGGTGTGTTGCCAGTCCCTTGCAGTTAGAATCAAAGGTGATGCCTGGCTCAAGACCACCACAGACTCAGTCCCAACCCCTCCACAAGTGTTCCAGACCCAGCCTTCGTGCTTTATCAAAGACCCACCTTCTTCAGTCTCTTCTCCATCCAGGAGTTCCAGCAGATCACTTCCATGTCCTCCCCTCCCCTCCCCTGCTCCTGGAGTTCTTGCTCATTTCTCTGCTCTCCCCCAATCAATCTGTCCTAAAGTCTCCACTTCTTCACCTCTCCACCGGTGACCAATCCGAACATTCATGCAATGGGCCAAACCCAGTCACTTTTCTGCTTTCATTTTGCAGCTGAATTCCAAACTGCATTCAAGAAGACAAAACGGAACACAAAACAAAAGTACAGTACAGTACAGGAAAAAAGGATGTTTGGCTTAGTAGCAGCAGAAACTTAAAAAAATTAACGACAAGAAGTGCATACAAAGTTAATGGTGCTATACCTACAGCTAATGCTATTTCAGAAAGCATGACAGAAATAAGATCCCTCTCTGGGGTCCTGGTTGTATTTCACCCAGAAAGAACTCAGTTCTCATGATGGTGTTTTTTGCAAAACAATACAGGAACTGAAAATACAACTTGCTACCCTGAGGAACAGCTTGTGTAGGACGAGTTCCTAGCAAATAGCGAGATCTTTTCTCGAACTATCATAGTAATTAAAAAAAAACTCACCTAAACTTAAGATTGAACAACTCAAGAACAGGAGAGCCAGTGTTATAAACCTATCCTTGGCAAGCGAGCAAAGAACTCAAAGCCCAGGTTTTCTGACTCGTTTATTGTCCCCAAACTATCACTGAAGGTGGGTACAGGGACAACAGGGCTGGGGGTGCGTTGGTTTTACGCATCCAGCTTGGAAAGCGCGGACCGGAAAGGGACCCCATCCTCTTCCCGAGGGGGCCCTTCCTCCGCCTCCACCACCCAAGGCGCGTATGGGGCCCTGAGCGGACGCGTCCTACCCTCCCACGTAGCGAGACTAGGCGTGACCGCGCGGGCCAGCCCTACCCCCGACACCCACTCGCTCACCCGCGTGGGCCAGCGTGGCGTCCAGGTCCCCGCCGTGTTCCTCGTCGTACACCACCAGCGCCGAGGCGTTCCCGCGCGCCGCCGCCAGTACCCGGCCCCGCAACGGGCAGTCCCCGCGCGCCACCAGGGCCACCCAGGGGACGGCGGGCCCGGGTGCGGGTGCGAGGAAGCGCGCGTCCGGCGCGCAGCCCCCGGGGTCCCCGCCCGGCGCGCGCGGGACGCCCACCAGGCCGCGCCGGGGCGCGCGCGGGGAGCCCTCGCTGAAGCGGCTGCTCTCAAAAACGCTGCGCACCGTGCGGTTAGTGCGCAGGTCGGCGTACTCGAGGCCCACCACGGCCGAGTGCCACAGCAGCGTCCGGCCCGGCGCCCCGCGCGCGCACAGGGCCAGGGCCAGGGCCAGCAGCCCCAGCGCGCCACCCTCGGGAGGTCCTCGCCAAGTCATGGCTGTGAGAAGGCGGTGGGCGCGCACGTGGGAGACCGCCAGGCAGCCAAGCAAAAGGGACACTAACGCGCGGGTAAACCTGAAGCGAGTGGCCCGGCGGAGGCGGGGCCACGGCGCACGCGTACCTGGCGCGGCGGCGCGAGGGAGTAGTGACGTAAGGGCGGGGTCTGAATACTCCCCCCTCATCCCCCGCGCGCGGAGTGCGCAGGCGCATTTTTGTAGCTAGTGAGTTCCTGAAGGGACACTGCCACACGACCTACAGAAGTAGGGACGCAGGTTCTGCTGCTACTGCGGCAAAGGCCGCGCGCGACCCCTTGAGGCAGGCGCCAGGCTTGAGCAACGGGACGTCGGGTGCCCCAGATATGGGGAAGTCACTATCGGAGAAACTGGAAGCTTGAACGAGGGCAGGCCAGCAAGCATGGAGGTTTGGGACGAATTGACTTCAAGGCGCGGCAAAGGCTTGGCTTGTCAAAAGCGCTGGAAGACATTTTAAAAAGAATCATAGGCCTGGCCCCCTGGCACACGCCTGACAATTCCATCTCCTGGGGAGGATAAGGCAGGAGGATCATGAGTTGAAGACCAGCCTGGGCAACTTAGCCAGACCTGTCTCAAAATAAAACTTAGAAAAAGGCACGGGAGTGTAGTTCAGGGCTACATCTCTAGTCTAGCATGTGCGGGGCCGAGGGCTCAAGTCCAGTACCACAAAAAAGACAAAAAGTGTATTTCCCCATCCCTTTGAAAATGAGAAGTCTTCCAGACCCCCATACGTGAGAGCTTGGAATGAGCTTCCCCTCCTCTGGAGAAGGACGTCACACCTTAGCAGGTCCCAAATGTGAGCTACCAAACATTGAGATGCCTGTAAGCCTGAGTTTGACCAGGACATTGAAAGCTTAGCTCATGGCAAGCTGCACTGTCAGCCACCTCTCAGAAGACACCCTCAAGCATATGCCTTCAAACTAGTTTCCTGGCCTGCCAGTGCTGTCATTCCATCTAGCTTGGAGTATGGCCACAGTTGATATCTGCAAATTGGCCAAACCACTTTCTCCTGAGAACCACTGTATCAAGATCCACCTCAATCTTTTTTTTTGGTAACCAAAATTGAACTCAGGGCCTTCTGCTTGCCAGGCCCTGAGCTATATCCCAGGTATCTCAATCTTAAATTAGGCTTGGCTTAAAGGTCTGCTTCTATCCTAATTGAGCAGCTGCACTAATGATTTAGGAACTCAATCACTAAGTGGTTAATGTACCTGTTCTGTCAAGTGTATCATTCCCCGTGAGATTTGTTATGTTCCCTTTAAGCATTGTGAACCTAAGAAGAAAGTTATCGTTGAGGAGGGGTGGAGGAAGGACATAAAGAAAATTAAGATGTGTTGGGTATATGTACCAATCCCCCACAATGAATGTAATCATTATGTACTGCAAATGTGTACTGTGCTCATGAAAATAAAAAAAATTTAAAACTTTGCTAGTCAACTGTGTGATTCATGAAATCATATTTTGATCATCTATTTTTACTACACAAAACACTACTATTTTGGAAAAGTTTAGAGCATTGATCTCTAACTCATCTTCCTTCTTTACACAGGGTCTATAATTATAAGAGGTAGGTTGCTGCTCATACTGTGTGTTCTATTAAGCCCTCTCCTTTCCCCTTTGTTTTTCTGCTACATCTCTGCTCGAGATACTGGCTGGCCTACAACTCACGAGGTATACTTGAAGTTGGATTTCCTCTTTTTTTCACTCAGGAAGCTAATTTAAAAAGGTTAGTAGCTTCGCAGGCTTAATGCCTTATGCTTGTCCTAGACCTAAAATGAAGTAAGATACAGTTGTGTGTGCAGGCTGGGGAATAAGTCCAGGAATCCCTGACTTGTTTATGCTGCAGAAAAATAAATACTTGTTAACAGAACTCAGCGTTGTGGTTTCATGCTAGGTTCTTCAAATTCATTTCCTTGATAAGAATGTGTACAGCATAATATTTTTCCAGTGGGAAGTCTGAAAACTGGCCTTTGGTCCTGCAGCCAGCTATTTGATAATATAATGTAGTTCAATATATAGGTGGTTTGTGATACTACTAATACTTCATGGGCTATTAAATAAGAATTTAGTGATGCTCTTTTACCCTATTTTATAGAGTGACTAATAATGTCACAGTTTATGTATAAGGCTAAATTATTGTAAGAATAAGCATATAGCTGTTGAAAAATGAACAGACTACAACGAGATGGCCATATTACTTAGATTATTATTAATTTAAGAACTATCCTTTAATAGTTACTGTACTCTGTTCCAGACATGAGGTTGAAGTTAGTGAAAATTTTCACCAGTACCAGTAGTTCACAACTGTTTTATATAAAATACGTGTTCATATTAACCTTACCACTATTATGAATGTGTAATATGTGAATCTTTCTCTATTTTTTTCCTGTGCTGGGGATCAAAACTAGGGCCTCATGCATGCTAAGCAAGCCTATGCACAGCCTAGTAAAAGTAATTTCAGTTTTAAAGTTGAATCAGGATTTACTTTTCTTTCTTTTTTTTTTTTTTGCAGTTCTGGGGATTGAACCCAAGCCCTGGAGTCTGTTAAGCAAGCACTCTAACACTGAACTACATCCCCAGCCCTAGTAATTTACTTTTTTTTTTGTCTTTTTTTGTACCGGGGATCAAATTCGGGTCCTTGCACTTGCGCAGCAAGCAGCGAAACCACTGAGCTAAATCCCCGGCCCTTTAGTAATTTACTTTTGTAATACATACTTGTTTTATTCATGCAAGAAATTAATACAGCTGGGCATGCACGTGCAATCCCAGCACTCAGGAAGCTGAGGCAGAAGGATCACTGTGAGTTCAAGGCCACACTCTGAATGTATTCAAGGCCAGCCTGAATTATATAGTGAGACCTTGTCTTGAAAAAAGAAAGAGAAGAAATTAATTCAAAGGCACACATTATTCTATAAAGCTAGGGTTAGCAAACTTTTTTTGTAAAGGGACAAGTAGTAAAAGTAAATTTTTTAAGATTGGGAAGCCATATGATTGCTGTACTAACTACTCAATTCTGCTGTTATACGGAGAAAACAACTGTTGGCAATAAATATGACTGTGTTCCAATAAAACTTTATTTATAGACACTAAAATTTGAATTTCATATAATTTTAACATTTAATGAAATATTCCTGTTTTTATTTTGTCCTTTTAAAAATTTAGAAATTACGCTTATTTTGCAGGCTGTTTATTAATAGGCATTGAACTGGATTTAGCCACTGCAGTTGTTTGCCTTTTCCTGCTATAAAGTAAGATTGAGTTAGATAATCCAGACCAGTAGATGAATAAACATTCATACTTGACTTTAGAATGTTTTGATGTCATTGTTAATTTAGATCACTGTTTCTCAGAGTGAGAATTATTATGATTGTTAGAAAAATACAGGATACTAAGTTAAAGTAGAATTAAAAACATAATTTTTATGTAATGTTTAAGATATACTAAGAAAAACAAAAAACAAATTCATTTCCTTATTCCTGAAATCTCTTGATCCTGGCTCTTGTCCTGGTAAATACAACTTTGTCTTCAATTGTAACTCCAAAGCTGTTTCTTCTGTGATACCTGCCCTGGTTAATTTAGGCAAACAGCCGCTTACACATTAATTTTAAACTAGAAGTACTGCTCTCCAAGTTAGAGTTTTTGGTCTTCCTATAACACTATAGGCTTCATAGGGGCCAGGATCATGCGGTTGCTCTTTTCCTGAGTCTACCTGAATTAGCACAGTGTTGTGTGTGTGATTGGTGATTGGTGTCCATCAGGCTAATCAGGACAAGCCTTGTAGCCATTGAGCTCTTGAGCCCAGCCTAGCTCTTGGTCTTTTATTTTTTTTCATGACCAGCTGTAAGCCTCAGCTGAGTTCCTGTGATTCAAAGGTGTCATCACTGGCTGAAATGCCAGAGACTCCTGTATAAGTCTCTAGTTCCCACCTGCCCAGTATGCGATGCAAAGTTGAAGAAAAACTTAAGGCAGAGTTAAAGAGAAAGTGTGAACTGGGACAGTCAATGCTCCTTTGGCAAAAGGCACTGGCTTGTCTTACCTACCGAATTTTATTATTCATCAATAAGGGTAAAAGGTGCAATATGTGTATGGATGTGCAATTACCATAGAAACTAATGCAGGCAAGGCTTTAAAGAGAAGAGTGAAAGCATTTTCAAATTAGAAGCAAGATAGACAAATAAATGGTTGCAATTAGAGCACTGTCCTTCAAGCTATGCAGGCACTGATTGTGGGAATGGAATCTGGGTGCGATGTACTTAGCTACCGATGTTATCTTGCATTAGCCCCACAGCTTCATAGGCCATTACTCTGGTCTCAGCCATGGCTGTTAGCAGGGAGATCATGTTGACCTGCGCGGTACCACAGTGCTCATAAGATACTTCTGTGAGTCACATAGCTTCTGTCAGACTCGCTTCTTAAAGTAAGCCAATTGAGGGATTTAACTTTGCAGCCTGCGCTGCTTACAGCACATTTTGGGCATAATCAATATTGTGAGCTCTGGCACTGAAACCTTCAGGACCTTATTGTATACTGGCTTCCAGGCGCTGATTACTCTGTTCAATTCTCTTTCCATACTACCCCAGAGGAAGTGCTAATAGGCCTTATCTCCAAGCCTTTTTTTTTGAGGAGCAAGGGGAAAGGGGAAAGGAGGTGTCATTAAATCATTTTATTATGGAAAATTTCAAACATTTCACGAAACACAGAGACTAGGCTAAAGAAGATCCATGTACTTGTAACTTAGAGTTCACAGTGGTCAACAGATGATTAATTTGATTTTAAATTCACCCCTAACTACTACTTCTCTCCTTCATTGGCTAACTTTGAAGGAAACCTTAGAAAACCATATTAACTTTATTCGTAAACATTTTAGTATGTTTCTTTAAAAGAAGTCTGTACAAATATAACCATCACATTGTCATTATAATTTTTAAAATTTGACTTGAAGTTGGGTATGGTGGCACATGTCTGTAGCTTCTGCTACTTGGGAGGCTGGAGCAGGAGAATCACCTGAGCCTGAGTTTGAGTGCAGCCTAGGGAACATAGACATCATCTTAAATAAATGAACAATAACTGAAATTTTTGTCAGGTAAAACAGCCAAAAACCAAGACCAGATCAGTACCACAACAAGCCTTTATTGGAAGGACAAGCACCCGGGCTGTCTCTGAAC